AAGGGGTCTCGATCTAGACCCCAAGAGAGGGTTCTTGGATCTCACAGAAGAAGGAATTCAGGGAGAGTCCACAGAGTAAAGTGAAAGTATAGTAAGAAAGTAGAGGAATAAAAGAATGGCTACTCCATAGACAGAACAGCCCCGAGGACTCCTGTTAAAAAATACCTATTTTTTATGGTTATTTCTTGATTCTTAAAAAAAAAAAACAAAACCATTTTTATGATTATTTCTTTGTTTGTTTGTTTTGAGACGGAGTTTCGCTCTTGTTACCCAGGCTGGAGTGCAATGGCACGATCTCGGCTCACTGCAACCTCCACCTCCTGGGTTCAGGCAATTCTCCTGCCTCAGCCTCCTGAGTAGCTGGGATTATAGGCACATGCCAGCATGCCCAGCTAATTTTTGTATTTTTAGTAGAGACGGGGTTTCACCATGTTGCCCAGGATGGTCTCGATCTGTTGACCTCGTGATCCCCCCGCCTCGGCCTCCCAAAGTGCTGGGATTACAGGCTTGAGCCACCACACCTGGCCTATGGTTATTTCTTGATTCTTAATATGCTAGATAAGAAATGGATTATGTATGCCTCCCCTTTTCAGACTACACAGGGTAACTTCCTGACGTTGCCATAGTATTTGTCAGCTGTCATGGCGCTGGTGGGAGTGTAGCAGTGAGGATGCCCAGAGGTCACTCTCATGACCATCTTGGTTTTGGTGGGATTTAGCCGGCTTCTTTACTGCAGCCTGTTTTATCAGCAAGGCCTTTATGACCTGTATCTTGTGCCATCCTTCTGTCTCATCCTGTGACTTAGAAGGCCTTAATCATCTGTGAATGCAGCCCTGTAGGACTCAGCCTCATTTTCCCCTGCTCCTATTCAAGATGGAGTTGCTCTGGTTCACATGCCTCTGACAGTTATGCTGCAAGAGAAGAGGAGAATGAAGTCAACCGTTGCTCCCAAGTTTCTGGCTTAAGTGGCTAAGGGGTGGATGGTCCCATGTGAGAGAAGAGAAAGAGGCTGAAGAACAGATCTGAGTAGGGTTGCTGGGTTTGGGCATAACCACCTTGCACCAGAGATGCTGGTTGTATCTGTCTAGGAGGTAATGACACACAAATTTTGATGTCTAAGAAGGAATCTTTGAGCATTCTTCTACTGAAGTTTCAGGACATTGGAAATCTAGAATATTCCTCTAAAAGGCAGGAAGATGGGTTCCAGTCCCAGCTCTAATATTAACTTGTGCTACCTTAAACAGTTCGTGACATTTCGGGAATGTGTGATCCTCACAGCCTTAGTAGCAGATTCCAAGATTCCTTTTGGCTTTGACATTCCGTACCTTCAGGTAGCCCTAGAATGTAAAGAGGTACTTCCTCTTGAAAGGCTTTATCAGTTGGAGCTATTTGCATTACAAGGAATATAAACTCAACTGAAACTGTGTTTATACATAGAAAGTTAATAGGTGGATTCCTTGAGCAGTAGACCAAGCAGAGGCCACCCTAGCCAGGAAAGAGTGGGTGATCCAGGAATGATATCTAGCATAGACACAGAGGCAGAAACAGGACGTATTTTTGTTTCGTTCTGAAATCAAAGCTTTTCCTCGATGGCCTTTCAAATAATGTTGATTGAACGTAGGTTTCTACGCTGGCTCAGCCATTAGCTCTGGGTAACCTTAGTTTAATCATTTTATGTGCCAGAGATTGACAGTTTCCTTATTTGTCACGCAGGAGTAATAGTCCTGTTTTTTCTACCTTCATTGTTGAAAGGATCTAATGAGAAAAGAAGGACAGAGCCCCGAAGGTCTCTGTGAATTTCTGTAAATTCGTGTGTGTGACACTGAGATCCCAATATGTGGATGAAAGAGCAGCAAATACTTCTGGTCTCCTGAGAGGTGAAAGTTCAAAGTTTATTGCTAATGAATTAATTTTTAAAATGTAGAGGGTCTTATAATACAAGAATCTGGAAACAAAATAAGATAAAAAATAAAAGGAGGTATCATAAAATTGTCAAATAAAAATTAAAGTGTCAGCAAACCACTGTGGCACGTGTATACCTATGTAACAAACCTGCACATTCTGCACATGTATCCCAGAACTTAAAGTATAATTTAAAAAATTTTAAAAAGCGGGCCAGGTGCAGTGGCTCATGCCTGTAATCCCAGTGCTTTGGGAGGCCAAGGTGGGCAGGTCACCTGAGATCAGGAGATGGAGACCAGCCTGACCAACATGGCAAAACCCCATCTCTACTAAAAATACAAAAATTAGCTGGGCATGGTGGCAGGTGCTTGTAATCCCAGCTACTCAGGAGGCTGAGACAGGAGAATTGCTTAAACCTAGGGCAGAGGTTGCAGTGAGCCAAGATCATGCCACTGTACTCCAGCCTGGGCTACAGAGCGAGACTCCGTCTCAAAAACATAAATAAAAAGGAAAGGAAATGTCAATGAAAAGAGTCAAACTCTGTAAAATATTTGGAGAGATTTATTCTGAGCCAGATATGAGTGACCATAGCCCATGACACAGCCCTCAGGAGTTCTGAGAACATGTGCTCAAGGTGGTTGGGGTGCAGCTTGGTTTTATACCTTTTAGGGAGGCATAAGACATCAATCAAATACATTGAAGAAATACATTGGTTTGGTCCAGAAAAATGGGACAATTTGAAGGGGCTTGGGGGGACTTCAAGGCTATTTAAATTTAAACATTTTCTGGTTGACAATTGGTTGAGTCTAAAGACCTGCTATCAATAGAAAGGAAATGTTCAGGTTAAGATAAAAGATTGTGGAGAACAAGGTTCTTTTGAAGTCTCATAGTGGCTGCCCATATAGACAATGGATGACAAATGTTTCCTATTCAGACTTTTAAAAGGTGCTAGACTCTCAGTTAATCTCTTCAGGATTGTGAGGACCTGGAAGAAAAAGATCAAGCTATGTTAATAGAGCTTCTTTACAGATGTAGATTCCTGTCCCCCTCCACCAAAAAAAAAATGACTTTGCGGGGCCACTTCAAAATATGGCAAAAAAAAATGTTTTGGGGTAAATTATTTTGATTTTCTTTTGTCATGTAATGTCGTGCCAGAGTCAGATAGGAAAGTAAGTCATGATATAGAAGGTGAAATAAAACCCATCTGATGAGAATTTATGGTTTGTAAGGCATGACTCCCAGATCACTTAGATAGAAATGTGGGCAAGATAAGAAAAAATTAGAGCTTAGTCCTCAAAAGAAAGAAATATAGAGAAAGAGAAGTAACAATGAAGGAAGAGAGAGAGGAAGGAAGAAGAGAAGGAAGAAAGGAAGGACAGAGGAAGAAAGGAAGGGAAGAAAGAGGGAAGGAAGGAAGGAAAAAAGAAGGGAGGGAGGGAGGGAAGAAAGGAAGGAGGGAATCATTCAGAGCTGGTGAGAATGTAGTTAAATTGAATGGAAATTGATAAAACTCTTTCATAGAAGAGTTGGCAATATTTGTCAAGAGCCTTAACAATGTTTATACTCTGGCCAAATAATTCTACATTTTATAATCCAGATCAAAGGTTAGCAAATTTAATAAAGGACTGGATAGTAAATCTCTCCGGCTCTTCTGGCCTCGCAGTTTCTGTCATCAGCACACCATTCTACTGTAGCAGAGCAAAAGCAGCCATGGATAATACATAAATGAATGGGTATGGTTTTGTTTTCAGTAAAACTTTATTTACAAAATCAGGATATGGCCAGATTTGGCCTGTGGGTCATAGTTTGCCAATCCCTGATGTAAATTAAGAAAATAGGCCTGGTACCGTGGCTCACACCTGTAATCTCAGCATTTTGGGAGGCTGAGGTGGGAGGATTGCTTGAGCCCAGGAGTTCAAGACAAGCCTGGGCAACATGGTAAAACCTCATTTCTACAAAAAACAAAATTAAAATTAAAAAATTAACCTAGTGTGATGGTGCACGCCTGTGGTCCCAGCTACTCAGGAGAATCATCTCAGCCTGGGAGGTAGAGGCTGCACTCCAGCCTGAGCAGCAGAGTGAGATCCTGTCTCAAAAACAAATAAATTAATTAAAAAGAAAACATTTTTAGAATTATTCTAAATTCAAAATTATAATGAGAGGTTTAAACGAAAAGAGTTTCGTCTCAATTTTATTTGTAATAGCAAAATATTGGCACATTTCTAACACTAATGGGGGATTCATTTGATATTTCTACTCAATGAAATATTAAGTACACATGAAAATGCTATTTACTAATAATGTATAACAACAAGAAAGATGGATAAACCATTACATGAGAAATGGAAACAAACTTATTCATAACGATGATGGTAATGGTGGTGAATAGTATCTAAGCACTTTACACAGGCCATTTAACACTCTAAACACATCTATGAAGTGTACTTTTTTAATGGAATGACTTTCCTTATGGAGAAGCTGATGGTGATAAACATTAAGTAATTTAGTCAAGGTTAAGCTGCTAGCAGGTGTCAGAGATGGAACAGGAATACAGGTCTGCTTAACTGCAAAAAGCAAAAACAAGAGCAAACCAACCAACCAAGGAAAATTCCAAATTAAACTCTGTTTATTAAAAAGACCAGAAGAAACTACACCCAAAATTTGCTGTCAGCTGTCTTGATTGGTAAGAGGTAGATAAGAAGATCGAGTAACATGTTCAGTATTTTCTCTGATGAGAATGTATCATTTTAGTAATGAAGAAGCAACACGTGAATTTCACAGGATAGCCGAGGATGGCAGAATGGTAAGTGGGACTGCGGTGGGAGAAGTGTTTATTTTGAGGGTCTAGAGGTTCCCTTGGGGATGCCCTTCATCCTCTTGGTCCTGCTTTTGTTTGTGAAAAGGACATGGTGCTGCCCTTCCCTCTGTCTTGTTCTAGGTGGAGTTTCTAGTGTGTCTTTTGTTGGGATGGTTGGCCCGTTTTTATGCTGTTCTTGGGCTGACATGCCAGTCTCTAATTCTCTCTCTCTCTCTCTGTCTCTCTCTCTCTCTCCACTTCTCTTTTTTCCCCTTCTTCATCCACCTGTACCACTGTGCAGCTGACAAGGTCAATGATGACTTCTACACCAAGCGACGGCACCTGGCTGAGCTGGCTGCCAAGGGGAACCTACCTTTGCACCCCGTAAGAGTGGAGGACGAGCCTCGGGCCTTCAGCCCCGAGCACGGTCCTGCCAAGCAGAATGGACAGAAGTCTCGTACCAACAAGATGCCCCCACATCCCCTGGCCTACAACTCCACCACCAACTTTAAGGGCTGGGACCCCAACGAGCAGTCCCTGCGGCGGCAGGCTTACGGCAACAAGGGCAAGCTTGGCACGGCCGAGACAGGCTCCAGTGACCCCTTGGGAACTCGCCCCCAGCACTACCCACCCCCACAGCCATACTTCATCACCAACAGCAAAACAGAAGTGACTGTCTGAGCTTTCAACACAGGGAACACCCTGGAGACCACACTCAGCTGAGAGAGGCAAAAAAAAAAAAAAAGAAAAAAAAAAAACCTTGGCCACACCCTCCCCTCCCCAACACATGCGCCCATACACTAACTCTCAACAAGAACCAACTATAAACCTGCTGGGGACACGGAGTCGCATTTTTCCTAGGTCATGCCTAGCACGTGTTGGCAGGCAGCTGAGAAAGGCCGAAGCATGGACATTCAGCAATACAGCAAAGGGGAAACTGAGGCACACTCTTTCCACTGCAGCCCCAAGGTGGCCAACTCAACATGCCCAAACCGCGGGGATGATTCTTCTTTTCCTCCTAACTTGAAACTGAAATCCGTGATGAAAAAATAGAGAAGTAGCACAATTTAGAGAAATTGTCCATTTGAGCACATACACTACTTGCTGCGTGCTGTTTCTAGGTACGAGAGCCAGGGTGGAAGTGGGGGCAGAGAACGAGGGAGGACACAAGAGTGTATTTCAGAAGAGGAGCTGTTCTGGGAGGAATCTGCCCACATTAGAAGCATTTTTCTAATTCCAAGAAGTGGTGACGTGGACATAAAGTTTTGACAAGCATGAAACGGTCACTGGACCCCAACCGTTCTATTTATAGTACTTTTCATATCATCTATGTTGAAAGCAAAAAAAACAAACCCTCAAACTCAAAAAAAATAAATAGACCCTGAACCCACCGACAATGATGGGAAGAAAAGAAAAACATTTTAGAGAACTCCCATAAAGACCGTGACCATGGAAATGGGAGGGATGGGCTTTTATGGCAGGGAGAGGGTCTGGAGAGTATCCGATAACTTTTTAAAAAGAGAATTAAAATGTAAGCCCACCACAAAACAGATAAAAATCACAAATTAGGGTTTTTTTTCCTCCAAAATCTTGAAGACTTGTTGCTGACATCAACAACAATGGACCACAGTTGGAAAAGTCCACAGCAGATCAGATGAGGACCTGGAAGACTGATTTCTGGGGTTTGCCTCCAAGACCTGACACAGCCACAGAAACAAGTCCTCTGCAAACTCTATGTCCCTGACATCCCTTTTCCTTCAGCGCATTGCCGCCGCCGCTGCCAAACTTCAACTGCTTTGGACTGAAAATGTCATAAGCGTGGGTGGTGCCTTCAATGTGTTACTGTTGTTTCATGACAGTCTTGTTTCCCAGGTGCAACCTGTGTTCTTTTACCTTCCTGCCTCTTGTTTTTCTGCAGTATTAGGTGTTTCCATCTTTCCTTGTAGGTGAGCCCACCCCATAACACCCTCTGAGGGGCTGCTACAATGTCAGGGGTACCCGAGAACGAAGACCTCCCTCCTCTCCACACTATCAAAATGAGTCCTATTTTCTAGCCCTGCCCCCAAACCTGTCAGACATTTCTTGGTCCCATCATTGCCGTGGTCCCTCCAGTTTACCTTCCCACAAACTTTGGCATGTTCATCTCCCATCCAGAATGTCCTGAGGTGGTTTTTCTGGTTGGTTCTCATAACCAATAGCCTGTGGGGTCCCAACAAAGTCAGTTTTCCTATAAGTTCTCTTTGTTTTGTGGAAGCCCCAAGAGGTGGATTGAGAGAGAAGAGATTTTCATCTAAGGTGAAAGGTTTTTCAACTAGCCCCTAAAGGTCTTAGGTAGTTAATGAACCTTCAACAGACCCATAGCAATTCTGGTGTCAGAAGTTATCAGTGGTCTGGTCAAATAAGACTCAAATAAGACTCAGTGTTTTCTGGAATCCTGAACCGCAAGGTTCTACCTCACCTCTCTCTCTACTCTGACATCGTGAAATCAGCAAAACCAGATATTTATTCTCCTCCTCACTCCCAGCAGACCTGAGGGCACTGACAGTGCAGCTGATCCCTCTGGGCCTCAGCCTCCCATCTGAAACATGGGGCATTGCGGTCAGTCAGGCTTTTTGAAACAGCAAAACCTCAGCTTGTTTTTAAAAATCGGATTTTTTGGTCAGGCGCAGTAGTTCATACCTATAATCCCAGCACTTTGGGAGGCCGAGATAGCTGGATCATCTGAGGTCTAGAGTTCCAGACCAGCCTGGCCAACATGGAGAAACCCCGTCTCTAGTGAAAATACAAAAATTAGCCAGGCATGTGGTAGATGCCTGTAATCCTAGCTACTCGAGAGGTGGAGGCAGGAGAATCGCTTAAACCCAGGAGGCGGGGGTTGCAGTGAGCTGAAACTACCACTGCACTCCAACCTGAACAACAGCATGAGACTCTGTCTCAAAAAAAAAAAAAAAAAATCAAAGAACGCACGGTAGGAGATCTCCATGTCTAAAAAGGCACCATGATGTACAAAGCAGGAGTCAGAGATTTAGTGCCCACCTTCTTAGCCTCCTTGGGGAGACCACAGCGCTTCCCAGAGTCAGGTAGAGACCCCTGGACATGGTCAGAGTTTCCTTGGCGTTAATGAGCTGTGTACCTATAACACGCTTTGATGTCTCTGTGTATCACCTTCACAATATTTGTATATAAATTAATTCATTTGAATACATTTTGTTTTTAAAATGAAAACTTCCTGTCTTGATCACAAATTTTTAAAAAATCATCAATTGCTGTAAATAGAAAGCAAGCACAAGAATAAGTACCAGGGAAACAAGCAGCAATTATTAAATTCCAGCTGGAGTCTGTTGTCTGTGAGTCTGAACTAAAACCTGAGGTTTGTTCTTTATTTCTCTGTCTCTGTTTCTCTCTCTCTCTCTCTCAAAATGATATTAGCAGGTATTAAATAATTGTTAAAGATACCAGCACCCAATGAAGACTTTCTCCTTGTAGTAATAAGATGGACCGGAAGGTAAATGAAAGGGGAGTCATTTCCTATGCAAGTCAGCGTTCAACAGTGTTGTATCCGTGCACTGCCTATGGTCACTGTGCATACACTAGGGGTGCCCACACTTCAGAGAATCCTGGATTGACTTAACTATGAGGTTGTTTCCAGCTCAAAGTTTCGGTTATTCTTATCTCCCTTTTAACTCATCTTTGCTCTTTGGCCCCAGTCTACTTCATTTCACCCTCATCTCAACTCTGACTAAGAGTCTTTCTTTGCCTCTGAATTGATAGTATTTTATTCCTTCTGCTTGCTCCTTCTCCTTTGAATAAACTCCATCAATTGAACTGGGCTCCTTGGGGTCTGCAGTTGTAATTTGGGCAGGAGAGGTGCAGCCTGGTCATTAAAATGTAGCCACAGTGCCAGTACTGGGAAGGACCAGTACTTCCCAAGTAGTCCTGCCTAGGATGGAAAGCTTAGGAAGTGCTTCCTAGTTTATTATCTTCCAGTTGGCTTTGGGAGATGAACTGAAGAAGGAAGTTTGGCTAGGAAAGGCCTTTTTGTTCTTTGGCTACCTCTTGGGAGGATAGACAGACCTCACAGTACTGAAAGACGGGACAACCTATGGAACTATCTGTGACTTCCATGTACCAAGACAAGGACCCTATGGCTAGGGTAGTGAGACCTAGAAGAGAAACCAGAACAAAGCAGACAGGCTGTCCTCTTCCTAATTTCATGCCCTCACACCAGCCCCTATTTTTTGCCTTTAGCTGTCCCCTGATTTCCAACCCAATGGGACCAGAGTCTGACTTCCCTTTAACCCTTTCACAGTGTCTCAGCCTCCATCTGCCTTGGGCTCCGCCTGGCCTCCCCATCTAACTCTTCCCAGTTTTTGTGTAAATGGAGCATATTTTATGTGCGAATATTTTAGTAATCGTATGTTCTGCAAGTAAACTTGTGTTAATACTTGTCGAAAACTGCAGAGTTTATGATACGAATAATTCTTCCTACAATGAAGAAAAAAACACATTTGTTTGTTTTCTAAGAATGTTTATTTGTAAACATATGTATTCACTATATTAATATAAATTTCTTACCTGGCAATAAAACTGATTATATGTGATGCTGTTGGGGTTGTCACGTATCTTTCTAATGCCCTGCATCCTAAATTGTGTTTTCACCAGGGAACACCAGTCTTAGCATAGAGAGGGTGGTCTTTAATACTCAGAATGTGTGGGAAGTTGTTTCAGGCAAAGGCAATTTCTAGTTAACAGCAACTTATATACATTTTCCAGGAGACTTTGTGTTTGCAACCTTTCTGGTAAGTTTGCATCACATCTGCTAGTTCACATACTTGCCTTTAGAGATCTTTCGTTGCTAGGTTTCCTCATCATAACTAAATTTATCCTTAATGGAGTTTTGAACACTGATCAGGGTCATAGAAGACACAAATATTGAAAGAATGGAAGATTGGTTTCTTCTCCTAATTATTAAATTTTATTTCCTGTCTGGCCTCTGGTAGCATGGAGTGTGAAATTTGCAGGTGGAAACTTGTCTGGATGTGGTTCCTCCAGAAAGAGGCTCTGAGATGAGGATGTGAGAAGTGAAGAGAATACTGGGAGGGGGTGGGAGGTTCAGTAAGGAAGGGAAAGCAGCCAAAAAGAATACGACATCATGCTGGCTACCACTATGCACGGCTGGGGTTCATGCTGCAGGGAAACTTTGGGAGATGGTATTAAACACGTACACAGAATCACCCTGCCCAAGTAAGATGGAGCTTGGGTGTTTACGTGCCCGCGGCCATCAGACATTGTTTCAAAATTGCTTTCAGGGATGCTAATGTTCAGATACCTCCAGGCTGTCATGTGCAAAGGCAGAAGGATTTTCATGGTGTCAAGAATCCCTAGGCACAGAGACGTACCTACTGGCGATTGTAAGCCAGTCATTGCATGCAAAAGTCCCAAAGACACGGAGGATGTGGCCAGGAACTCAAAGTGGCTGCCCAAAGCCAGAGATCTGAGGCCCCTGGGAAATGAAACTTCCACTCTCTGGATACTTAGAGATGTTGTCGATGTCAGGCAAAGGGGAGAGTGGACCACGATTTGCAGTCAGGGTCAGGATCGGGATCTTTACTCTGGGATTTGAAGACCCTTCATTGGCCACAGGATCACTTGGCATCACCAAGAGCAGATCGCATGGGCTGTCTTTGGGGCATAGTTCTGGTTATCAGAGAAGTCTGGAAGGCAGAGGATGCTCTTTCAGGACTGGGAAAGTGTTGATGATGGGAGTCACTCCCATCACAGCCCCATGAATGCAGTCATAGGAGAGAGAATTACACCTCTGTGAGGAGGGCCACACTATACCTCCAGTGAGCCACTTGGTTGATTATAACTCATAAGCAACAACAGCAATCATAACCAGCTTATTTGCAGAGCCACACACTGTTGATGACCTATCCATTGCCGCATTGGTTCACATTGTAAAAGGTAAGTACTATTATGCTTTGGAGATGCTGTTTAGAGATTTATCTAAAATTTGAGTAATTTTCCTAAAGCAATTCAACTAGTACGTGATAGAACTGGGTTTCAAACTCCAGATCTAATCCTTTAATGGCTCTGTCAACAGTTCTCACTTGGGGCCAGGCATGGTGGCTCACATCTGTAATCCCAGCACTTTGGGAGGCCGAGGCAGGTGGATCACCTGAGGTCAGGAGTTTGCAACCAGCCTGGCCAACATGAGGAAACATTGTCTATACTAAAAATACAAAAATTAGCCAGACATGGTAGCAGGTGCCTGTAATCCCTGCTACTCAGGAGGCTGAGGCAGGAGAATCACTTGAACCTGGGAGGTGGAGGTTGCAGTGAGCCAAGATTGCACCATTGCACTCCAGCCTGGGGGACAAGAGAGAGACTTCCTCTCAAAAAATAAAAGTTATCATTTGGATTAGCATGCGAATAAGTGGGTCAGCTTGATAAAAATACCCATTCCCATGCTCCCTCAAAGAACTTCAGATGAGGTAGCTCTGAGTTGGGGACCAGGGCCCCATGTTTGTAACAAGCTCCCTGTCATTGCACTGCAGTGGCTCCTGGACCCTATGGTGAGAAGCCTTGCACAGTGCCACATTGCCTCATCATCCAACATCTGTGAGATCATCCCAAGGATCTTAAGATGCAGAATAAATTGGAATGGACCTGTGTGCTTCCAGAGAGAGAGGAAGCACACAGGCTTCATGTCATCATCTGGCTTCGTGTCAGATGTTGAAAGGTTGTGTCCTGTCTCCAGGAGACTTGGTTGGTAGTATTGATTCCAATGCCAACTTGCCACATGCCTTGAAACTATCCTTTCCTGCAACTCCACTTCATCTTCCTTCAGAAGGAGGAGGTTGCGGTTAATAATCTTCAACTGGGCTCTCTGACTTGACAGTGTTGTTCTTCCTGATCACCATGAAATGGGTACAACCAACAGAATTGAATCTCTTACCACTTTGAAAGGTTTGCTCCTGGATGACTGGGCATTTAGTGGGTATAATAATAACATTATAGTAATGGATTCTGAGTATTGAGCACTTGCCAGGTACCCGGTGAGGACCCAGAAAATCTTAAACAAATCTGTTAATTTAGAACGTTTATTTTGCCAAGGTTGAGGATGTGTACCTGTGACACAGCCTCAGGAGTCCTGATGACGTGCCCAAGGAGGTTGGGGTGCTGCTCCATTTTATACATTTTACGGTGGTATGAGACATCAATCAAGTACATTTAAGAAATACATTGGTTTGGTCCAGAAAGGCAGGACAATTCCAAGTCAGGGGGCTTCCAGGCTGCAGGTAAATGTAAACATTTTCTGGTTGACAATTGGTTGAGTTTGTCTAAAGACCTGGGATCAATAAAAAGGAATGTTTCGGTTGTGATGAGAGGTTGTGGAGACCGAAGTTTTATCATGTAGATAAAGCTTTCACCTAGCAGGCTTCAGAGAGAACAGTCTGTAAAATGTTTCTTATCAGACTTAAAGTCTGTGTTGATGTTAAGGAGGGGTATACGGAGGCATGTCCAACCCCTACTTCCCTTGATGGCCTGAACCAGTCTTTCAGGGGCCTTGGAATTTTATTTTTGGTTTACACCAGCTTTATGCTGAGGGTTTTCTGATGCCCTAACAGCCATGGGCTACTATGGATATTCTTAATGTTCTTAGGCCATGAATCCTTCTGACTATGGATTCCCTTTTCAGAATAATGACTTTAAAGGCATAAAATAAAATACGTAGAATTATAAAAGTAATCCATTATCTCAATATATATAGTCATGAAAAATTTTTTTTTAAACTTGGATTTGTGATATGGTAATACAGTTGACCCTTGAACAACACAGCTTTGAACTGCATGGGTCCACTTATGTGTGAATTTTCTTTCACTTCTGCCACCCCTGAGACAGCAAGACCAAGCCCTCCTCTTCCTCAGCCTACTCAGCATGAAGATGACCAAGATGAAGACCCTTATGATGATCCACTTCCACTTAATAAATAGTAAATATATTTTCTCTTCCTTATGATTTTTAAAAATAACGTTTTCTTTTCTCTAGCTTACTTTATCGTAGGAACAGTGTTTATATATATATATTACACATAATATACTAAATATGTGTTAATCAATTGTTTATGTTATTGGTAAGGCTTCTGGTCAAAGTAGACTATTAATAGTTTAGTTTTGGGGGAGTCAAAAACTATGTGAGATTTCTGACTACATGGGGTTTGGTGACCCTAACCCCTGCATTGTTCTGGGATCAACTGTATATGTGCTTTTCAACAAATGCAATAAATAACATGATCTATTGATGGATTTCAAAGTATTGATGAGCACAAACAATTCTTTGAGCTATCTGCTACATATGCAATGTGATACAACAATATCTGTGATTCCACTGTTGACAAAGTCCCAGGTCACTGCTAATATGATAGGTGGCTCTTTGTCTACATTTATTTATTTGCTTTTGAGACAGTGTCTCACTCTGTTGTCCAGGCTGAAGTGTAGTGGTGCAATCATGGCTCACTGCAGCCTTGACCTCCCAGGCTCTAGCAATCCTCCCACCTCAGCCTCCCGAGTGGCTGGGCCTACAGGTATGTGTCACCACGCCCAGCTAATTTTCTGTGTTTTTTGTAGAGATGGACATTCGCCACCTTGCCCAGGCTGGTCTCGAACTCCTGGGCTCAAGTAATTTGCTCACTTCAGCCTGTCAAAGTGCTGATTATGGGCGTTAGCCTCTGTGCCCTGCCTTATTGCCACATTTATAATTGTGGGATGTGCTAAATTTTAACTAGAGGCCAGGGAAAGTAAAGATGTTATATATTTTCTCCCAGCTAATTTCACAAACCCACTGAATTCCATCCACAGATCCCTCTGCAGGTTATGTGGATCCCAGGCCAAGCATTTGTGCACTAGTGGGACTTAGAGCTACTTACCTATTCTCTTCATGCTTCTTTTTAAATAGCGATAACAATAGTATCTCTGTCATTGGCTGTTATGATAGATAAAATAATAGATAAAAAGATAGTAGCTTAATGCTTGACACCTAGTAAATACTTCAGCATTAGCTTTTGTTATTAGAATGATTCTCCAGGAAGTCAGTGGCAGAGCTCATTGAAACCTGGTTTTCTCTGAGACAACCTCAAGCTCTGGACAGTCTTGCATGCTGTGTCACCTGTTGAAAGTGATTGTATTCTTTCCCTGGAATGAGACTAGACCAACACTGGAGTAGATCACAATGAATGTCCCCATTTCTTCACTCATCCCAGAGGAGAAAGACAAATGTCCAAGGCTCAGGAAGCTCTTGCCTATTTATTTAAGGGCTTATTGGAGACAGTTAATACCAATGTCTTCCCTTGAACAGCAAGCTCTCTCCAGCCCAGTAATTACAAGATCCCAATTATAAACTTCACTGTCCCAGAAATTGTCAGAGTCTAGTTTTTTTTTTAATCCATCCTGTTAGGAATATATTCACGACATAAAGTCAGAATAAGTCTTTGATATGGCTTGGCTGTGTCCCCACCCAAATCTCATCTTGAATTGTAGCTCCCATAATTCCCATGTGTTGTGGGAGGGACCTGGTGGGAGATAATCGAATCATGGGGATG